CTCAGTGTGTTGGTAATGGTTCACGTTACAGAAGAAATAGATTTTTTTTGTTTTTTTCCTCACTTTTTGTCATCACTGTGAAAGAACTTCTCATGTATAGGTTTCCTTTGCCCTCAAGGCACGTATCACCTTGCCCAGTTTCTACAAATAAAACCTTTTTCTTGTGGGGATCAGAATAATATTTTCTGAGGTGAAATTCAGTTGCCTGCAGTGTGGAAGGAGGTTCAGCTTCCTGGCATATTATCACAAAATCATCAGTAAGATCAAGGGAAAGTCTGCATGTAGGTAAGTTCTATTGATTTCATTAACAGAAAGGAAAATTGTCATTTCAGATGCTATGTTGAGGTAAAAAGTTTTCTAGCTGACTTCCGAGAAATTGTAGCTGACAGAAAATGTCAAGCTTAATTCAGGGAAGATTTTAACCCACTAGATAACCGCTCAATTGCTGAAAGGTTTTTTAGTTGGTCACGTACAAGTGGTCAAAAAGCTCAATAATTACTGCATGTCCGATATGGCTAACTTTATTAAAACTGTTTTATTCTAAATATCACATCAATCTGTATTATATTAGCAAAAAAAAAAAAAAACAAAACCCCTCAGGAACATTTCAAATTAACGTTAAACTGACAGATTTTAGTCTAGTTATTTTAGGAACCTTTATTAACTGTGACATTTTGGTTAAAAGCAGGAAATCTTACTCTTCTGAAACTAGTAAATTGATGAGTATATCTGCATATAATCCCTTACGTTTCATCTCTTCTCAACAGCTACTTAGAATTAGACAGCTACTCTGATCCAGCTATATGATCTGAACACTTTTTTTCTCATTGGCAAAGTGAATCTAGACATATCTTTAAGACTCCAAATGTTTTATCACACGAGAAAAATTAATGAGAAACCAATGTGTCAGATCAGATTCCAAACAGTAGTCAACAACGATATAATTTTATCTCCTGATACCACGATGTTTGATTAAGATGCTCAGGTGCAACAAGAAGAAATTTAAAAAGTATAAAACTTAGTAAATTAATGCAAATTAGAAAAAGATTATTCAGTAAAAAATAATAAATCAGAAAGGTCTTAACACTATGTAGACACAAGCTGAGGTTTTTCAGGACATGTATGAGTCTATTGTTTAATTTGGAGTTTTGATTTGATGTTGTCAAAATGTTTTAAGTTAGTTGTCTATTCAAAAATGACACAAATATGTGCTAAGGTGCTTTTTAAAGACACTGTCTGGAGCCAAAAGGTTGTATATTGATTCTGGCAAGAGTGACTGCATGTTAGCAGCAACACAGAATAATTCTTTTGTGATTTTGGATCTGAACATAAGCCAAAACAAAATGTTTCACTTTGGGTGGACTCAAACTTATAGCAGCCTCTGTCTGTTTGTGGTTTAAAGTAAGCTGCCTCCAAAATCATCTTCCATGACAAATTTTAGGTCAGTAAGTAAAAATTTCACAGTACCTTCTTGTATGCATAAACTTATATATCTGAAACTAGTAGATAAGTAATACAGTCAAGAACGGAAAAGGCATAGCACTAAGAAAACAACCAATGTCAGCAAATAAATACCAAGGAGAATTAATCTGCTCGGTGCATCACAGAAATGTCCAGTATCCAGATCAGCTTTAAAAGAACATCTTAATTTAAAATTTCTTACCTTTGAATATTTTTCCCTAATTTAATTTACATTTTCTTTCTTTAATACCATTTTCTAAGTGCAAAAAACCCTATAACATCTGATGAATTATAGCCAGATGAGCTATGCCAAATTACACCAGATGGAGAGCTAGCCCACAGAGGAGTTACTGTTTTCTGTAACACAGTTTCAGATGCAAGATTCATTATTTGGGACAAAAATATTCAAATTATTGCCAACTTATCTGTCAAAAACATTGCTAGCACAACGACTTTGGATTACTGTAGAACATCTTTCCCTTCTCTCTGCCTCTCTGTGAACCTAATCATGTTGAAGTGAACACCCACAGAGTTCACAATACACGACTGCTGTGAAGTGGGAGGAGGTGTGGGGCCATGCTGGCCTTCATCCTACAAGCATATTTTGGGATATTTTTATTGGGGTTTAAATGCTTTTGATTTGTTCATCTTAAAGCTGAATAGATACTGGAAAACTATTATGGCCATTGATGCTGAATTGTAAGTGGTATCGTAGGTTACTATGGCTGAATACCTGCATCTAAGCAGATGCTACATAAAAGGAATTTTAAAAATTAAATTAGAGGCTTTGTATGCACAAATCTAAACTCACTTAAATGCTGTAGTTTCCTTTGGTATATCTTAAATTGTGCAGTCAAAAATCTTTCTTAAATTTGTAATACATAAACTCTGCAAACTTTCTGACAGCTCTAACCTTGATGTTTAAGCCATACAGCTACTCTACTTTTGCCATATCTCTTTCTAATTATAAACCTCAGTTTTCCTTACTCTTATTTTCTTCCTCTCGAGTGAAGACCTGAACTTCCAGAGCATAGATTGCTAACAATAAAGCTACGGGATTTAAAAAAGACAGGGCTAATTTCTCTGTAACAATTCTGTTAGTGTACAATGCAGGCAGAGAAAACACCAAAATGTACAATATTTCAGCAATGTGGCTAAAAGTCATTGGTATGGGCCCTAAGGAAAAAAGAGAGATAAGTAAAGCAGTCTTAGCATATCACACTAGCCAAAATATAGCTTTTGAGCATACAGATGTTTGAAATGGTTTAGGGTATTCCTGTTCCTGCTGTGTCTTGCTTTACCCAAAAGCTTGAAAATGCTGAGCTTCAGCTAAATTTTGTGGTACAAGTTGTTGAAGGGAATGGAGAAGGAGAAATAGAAATTAATTGAGATATTCTACAAGCATAGAAATTGCACGTTATTTTTCTTGATGTTTTAGCTGTGTTAGAAATGGTCCACTAAGCTGAAATGAATGAGTGGCACTGCAGTACAAAATCCTGAGATGTCCTGGCTCACAAAAGAATCAGTAACAACAATGGTTACCTAAGCTATGTTTTGTTGATTACTATGCTGCACTTTCCTGAAATACCTAATGGACTCCTGCCCTTGAAATAATATTGGTCTGGAACAAATTTAAATAAAGCAAAAAATATGTAAATGATGATTCCTTCATGATTTTACTGGAATTAACAGGAATACTTTTTTGAAATTTAAGGTTTTATTTCAATACTGATAGATAGATAGATAGATAGATAGATAGATAGATAGATAGATAGATAGATAGAAAATGATGAAGTTGGTGAGTCCCATTCACAAAATTTTCCAGGACAGTGAGATTACAGAGATGTATTCCCTAGTATCCCAGTGAGTATCTTGGACACTAAAGGGAGTATACAAAGGCAATAGTTTAAAATATTATGGAAGCCTTGCATTAGTATTTGCAAGTTTGACAGATTCCTTTGAAACTTGTGGATAGATGCTTGAAGTATAGTCCAGTAGGCCATTCTGCATACTTTTTTATTTTGAAGGGGCAGCTTTTTGATTAAGAAACATTATTCCAGCTCTCAAAATGCCCCTTCTCCCTTTTACATATATAAAACCCATAATCGATGGGCTGAGGTCAAGTATATGAGGTTTAACAAGGCCATTTGCTGGGTCCTGCACTTGGGTCACAACAATCCTATGCAACGCTACAGGCTTGGGGAAGAGTGGCTGTAAAACTGCCGGGCAGAAGAAGACCTGGGGGTACTGGTGGACAGCCGCTGAACATGAGTCAGCAGTGTCCTTAGGTGGCCAAGAAGGCCAACAACATCTTGGTCTGTATCAGAAATAGCGTGGCCAGCAGGACCAGGAAAGTCATCCTTCCCCTGGACTCAGCATTGGTGAGGCTGCACCTTGAGTACTGTATCCAGTTTCGGATCCCTCATTACAAGAAAGACATTGAGGCACTAGAGCGTGTCCAGAGAAGGGCAATGAAGCTGGTGAAGGTTCTAGAGAACAAGCCTTATGAGGAGCGTTTGAAGGAACTGGAGTTGTTTAGCCTAGAGAAGAGGAGGCTGAGGGGAGACCTTATCACTGTCTACAACTAACTGAAAGGAGGGTGTAGCGAGGTGGGAATCAGTCTCTTCTCCCAAGTAACAAGTGATAGGATGAGAGGAAATGGTCTCAAATTGCATGAAGGGAGGTTTAGATTGGATATTAGTAAAAAAATTATTTCCTGAAACGGTTGTTAGGCATTGGAACAGGCTGGCCCGGGGAGG